AAAGTTGCTGATTCTTAATTGTCGCCTCACGACCAAGTTGCTGTCAAATAATTTGCTTTACAACAGAAGTGGCTTGCAGCAATATTTTATTCTTGTGAATTGCAGCTACAGTCCCCTGCTATAATTCATGCTTCTTTTGCATACTAGCATCCAGAGATGCTGTCCTTCAGAACACAAGTCAGAAGACTCAGGTGGCTTTTTAATTTAGCCTAACTTCTCCCTACTCTTCCATTTCTGATAACTGGCCAAGAGGATAAATCATTTGAGTACAGTACAAGACTTCATATGTAGCCATATTTTTCCTGTGCAGACAATTCCCAGGATCACGTATGAGGCATTCTAATTTTGAGTAAGGTAACATATCTTATTTTATCTCCACCCATAACAAGAATGTCTCTCCAACACAAATGTATTGCGGTGATTGCCCCATCACTCTCCCAGAGAATGATTAAAAGCAGAGGAAAAGGACAGCAATATTTATTTTTCCTCATCGGTACTGTCATGGTGTGTCAGGCACTAACTTGGCTTGGTATGAGTAATAACATTGCCATGAATCTTAGTTGCTACAGATGTCTACTTTCTTTTCAGTTTCACAAAGCAAGAAGCACTTTTAATGACACAACTTGCTCCTTTTTTGTATCATGTTCATTCAGGTCTTGTTGTTCAGTAAGCCTCAGCATTACTTACTTTTTAGGGGATTAAAGGATTAAAATACCTCAAAAGGCACAGCTATTAAATTTTTTTACATCAATCCAACAAAGATTTAGATTACACAATTTCAAATAAAAAAGGTTTTTGAAAAACTGTAAGATACATTTTTAAAATTTATACTGTCTTTCAGGCTCTAAAAGGGTGGTTTTGCAGCCACATACAAATAATGAGAGAAATGAACATAAATAATTAAATCATCAGTTAAATTCTATATATGGTCGAGATCCATATACTGAGAGAACAATAATAGTAAGGCTGATTTCAGTAAAAAAAATGCATTGCCACAGGAAGTTGGAATGAATGAATAAAGAAATAAATAGGAAGTGGTGAAAACAGATTAAACATGTTCTTGTTGCTATGTGCTAGCAAGTCATATTTGAGCTATGGCTCAATGAATTAGTGACTGCATGATCCAAAATGCCATCTCATTAATAGCCCTGCTCAGCTCTTGCAAACTGCAGGCCATGGCTTCTCTTATGTAGTCTATCTATCAATCGCTTGTTTGGCCTTCTTTTCCTGTCTTCAACTTTTCCTAGCAAGATAAAAGATACAACCCAGTAAAAATAAGTTTGTCATTTTAAGAGCAAGAAGGGAACTAAACATATTCTGAGAAAGAATGCTACAATCTGGTTTCTATTATTGAGTTTCTCTGCTACTGAGAAGGTGTCCTTTCATGTATCTATCTTGTATATTTCCAAGTGAAAGAACACGGAACTGGGACTCATTGATGACAGTGCAAAAGAAAGCTCAGGTGGGAAGAACTATCCTTTGGCTACCGTGGTTCCAAGGTAGGAGTCTGTAAGTAATAAAGCCACTTCAGTTGTGCCCAGAAACAGATCAAAAGCCGGTGCAAGTGGAAAAAAAAAAACCAGCCAGAGCAACCTCCTGTAGAAAGCATTTGATGTCACCCAGGCATGAGTGACATTGGCCAGAACTGCACGATCCAAGATAAACAGGCTGAGTGCACAAGATGAAAATGAGCAAAGTCACCCACCCACAGTGACAGCTGCAGTCTTACCCAGCAGGAGCACTCGCAAAAGGCAGACTGGGTGGAATTCAAGGTGCTAGTTATTAGCTTTGAAGTGTACAGACCATGGATTTCAAAATGTGGTGATCAGTATCATACAGAAGAATTAAATAAGCCATTTTAATTGCTGATGAACTGGTAAAATAATTAAGTCCTGTACATCAACGAGTTGTTTTTATAAAATCCATTTAAATGTAAAAATAGAGGGAAGCATGCGTAACATTCAGTTTGGAGCGATATTTTCACATTTTGATCCCAACCGAATTCAAACACAGCCCAGAATTTTATTTCTATCAATGAATCACTGGACTACTCTTCAGTTTGCTATACTATACTGGGAGACTTTCTATAACGTTGCAAATTTATTTATTTATTTATACTCTGCCTTCTTACTGTATAAGAAATTCAAAAAGTGGTTTAATTTATGAGGATTCCATCTCATTAAACCATGGGTTTTAACACATTTCCCTCAGACCTAGCTCTTGAGACCAGCTATCAGGCAAGAACAAAGCCATTAGAGCAGTGGTCTCCAACCTTGTGTCTCCAGATGTTCTTGGACTACAACTCCCAGAAGCTTTCACCATCAACTCTGCTGGCCGGGATTTTTGGGAGCTGAAGTCCAAGAACATCTGGAGGCCCAAGGTTGGGGACCACTGCATTAGAGAACACCACCCAAGTGCCAAGATACTTGAAGGAGAGACTATGGATGATGGTGCTGAAAGTTATTGAGATGTTCATCAAAACCAACAGGAAAGCATTTCATCTATTTGTTTCCCCATCCATCAAGTGACTTAAGTTGTTTCAGTTCTCAAACTAGATTTAAACCTAGATTAGAATGGAACCAAGTAAAGAAGCCCTGGATTTGCACTGCCACTACTCACTCAAGCACCCTGTTTATAAATAGCAAATAAGACACAGGATTATCCTTAATAGTGAAGCCTAATCATATTATCTACCCAAATCACCCGTCATTGCCAGCAGGGACGGCTGAGGGGTCTGACGCCGAGAGAGGTTCGGAAGGAAAAAACTAGAAACCGGGCCTTCTCGGCGGTGGCCCCTCGGCTGTGGAATGCCCTACCAACAGAAATTCGGCTGGCACCCTCGCTGGTTGTTTTTAAAAGCCAGTTAAAAACTTGGCTATTTAAGCAGGCCTTCCCTCCAGTCAGCTAAGTCTTTTTTTTTCTCCTCCTCTTTTCTTATTCTATCCCATCTTGGTACTCTTTTCTTAAATTAATTGCCTTAATTAATATTGTAATTGTACTTTTACTTTTTTTTATATATTGATCTATTTTATGCTGTAAGCCGCCCTGAGTTGACGTGGTCTAGAGGGGCGGGGTATAAATTTAATAAATAAATAAATAAATAATTACAAATGATTATGAATTACTAAACCATGCGTGCACACACACATATATTAAGCAGAAGCCTAATCACTGTCTCTTTAAAAACAGCTATCCCCAAGGGAAATATTCGTATAGTTACCACTCATTATAAACCTCTTCTGGCCTTCTCCACAAGCTAGAAGGGGCAAAGATTACACAGAGCATAGGGTGGGCTCAAACATTCAAGCAACTTGTCCATATATATTTTAAAAAGGCAAGGGTGGGTGGTATCATTATTACATGATGGCAGATTCAAACAGACTCACATTTTTAAGGAAAATTGAATCATAGGCTATAATACTGAGATTATATTGAAGACCATAGGTTGTATTACTCAAATTATATTGAGGATGGGATAAATATAGCTTGGGAAAAACAGAATGTTCACTGAGGAATACTCCAAGGAAAACAGGTATAGATTCAAAGATGCAACCCCAGAGGTACTTTTTAGAACATTACCACACTTAATGAAACTACAGTATGTATTTTAGTTAATAGTTATATACTGTATTACTTAACTTTTTAAAGCTATTTATTAGTTTCAGTATTTTAGATGGTTTCAAGGATTGCTGATTTTGTTCTGTTTGCCTTCAGTTTATTTCACGAAAACAAGCAAGATACATTATTGAAAAATAAATATCATTATGCTTTAAGAGAAGGTTAAAGAGTCCCCACATTAAAGCAAGAGTAGCTAGGAGAATCAAGTTCAACATTTCCCTGATGACTGATATATTATGGAGAATGCTACAATGTGAGTTCTTTACAAGGTCACAGATATTCAGGCACAATCCCTGTCCTTTCTTTTGGATACCTTCATAAAATACAGCTGGGAAAAAGACAATGGTTGAGCCCAGAGAAAAACTCATTGGTTTACTAATTACTAATTTTTCCTACATCTAATGGCTTTACTCGTAATCCCACAATGGGATTTGTTTTACACATTCCTCCCCTACACCTCCCTGTGTTCCCAAATGTCTTAGAAGCTCCTTAGCTTCTCAATAGATTTCGGGGTTGGGGGGCATATAACAGTCTGCCAAGAGATTGCTCCCCTTCTAGTTATCCTGATGGAAACAGTTCTATCAGTTAAAAAAAAAAAGACTATACCCAATGATTGCAACTCTATTCCTAAGTCTCCTATTCTAGAATTCTGAACTGTACTTCTGAAAAAATATTCATTTGGCTAGGTTGCAAGTAAACTATCAGGCTGAAAATAACAGGAAAGTACAGAATGGAGTGGTTCGAGAATAGAACTACTGTAATGTCATTTACAGCAGTGGTCCCCAAACCTTTTCTGAGTCATGGACTGGTTGGGGGGTGGGGTCTGTTCATGGGGGGCACCTCCCGCAGTCATGGGTGGGTGGGTTGTGCTCACGGAGGGGGAGCACTCGCATGCATGTGCAAAACATGCTCGTGCGCATGCATTTAGGTGCAGGGCGTGCTGTCAGAGGGGTGGAGCGAGCTCACGGGTGGGCAGGGCACCCGTGTGTGGGTGGCAGGCTGTCCGTGGAGGGGGGGAGTGTGTGCGGGGGTGGGAGATCTGTTTCCGTGGCCCGGTCCTGCCATGGCCATGAACCAGCACCAGGCCACTGATTGGGGGTTGGGGACCCTTTATTTAGACAATTCAGCCACATGGATCCCTTTACAAAAATTCTACTTTAAGGGATAGTATTTTCTACTTTAAAAAGTAATAGAAACACAATCCAGCACTGTAGAACACTGTCTCAGGTTAGGTCATAGGCTAGTGGATCTCCAGGGATCCCTGAACATGCTGGGGACTCAACTAGGGACCTTGTGTATGCAAATCATATGCTTTACTAAGGACATATAGACCCTCTATAACAAGTCAAAGTCAGGAATGAAAAATACTGAATAAAACTGAGATCTTTACAACTATGATGTTTATTATCTTAAATATACAAAAATGAAAAAATAAAATCATATTTGTATCCCATTACTTTAAAATAAAATAGAAAATAGAAAAAGTCAGACCCCCACCCACACACCATTAGTTCTCTAAAAGTTTGTTGACTGCTTGTTTTCTCTGTTCTGCAGTCATGTGCTCACACACCTCCAGGACATTTGCCACAATTAAAGTCTGTTGAATTGTTTTGGCTTTCACCCAAATTCTTCCATTCATTCCGAAGACCAGTTCAAATGGATAAAGTTGTCCCAAGTCCTGGATGATTTCACAATCTGGAGCTAATAGTCTAAAACCAAAACAAAATGAATTGAAAGAAAAAGAAGTCCACACATGACTCTGGTACACACTTTATATCTGAACTATTAAGATGTCATATCTATGAAACTATTTTTCCCCTGATACCTAGCCACATCCACATAGGGGTTTTCCTCCCAATGGGGGTGTGTGCTAAGAAGGTAGAATTGCAATCAAAAATTCATAAGCACTGAAATTTCAGAATGAAACAATATGTGCTGTTTTTCTTATGTTAACCAGTTTTTATGAATTACTGGGGCTGTTTGTTGAAGGCCTTCTTCAAATAAGCCTTTTTTCATTATATCAATTATGATATATAATGAATACAGCCATAATGAAGATGATAGTTCTGCTACTACCCCAGTTATGTTTGGTGAGAATCTGAGAGAGGGCATTTTAAGAGACTGATACCAGGTTCAGTTTTTAAAATAGATTAGATTGGTTAATTTTGGGGGAGACACGACACTATCTTAAATTAGAATTAGAATTTACCCTTGTGATTCGTACACAGATCTAGACTTTTCTTGGACTGGATTTTGGGCTACAGATAGCTCTGAATAAACTATGAAACACATCCTCCAATTCATCATTGTGTTGACCTGAGATTCAGTGGTCTTCCTCTTATTTCTGCCTTCATTTCATGGATCTTATTCTGTGTTTATTTGCTATGAGTTGAATAAATGTGCATCAGTGATAGCTTCCAGTCATCTTTAGTAATAGACTCACACCCGTTGGAACAAATACTGAAGATCATTTTCCCATTTTTTTTTAATTTTTATTTTATGGGTTAGGTGTGGGGATAGAGGAAATGGGATAAACAGGGGGTGCAAATCAACATGAACGTTTTAAAATACTCATATGTTACATTTCACAGATACGTAAGTATCTTTGTTATTGCTTAGTTGTTGTATTGCTTAGTTATGATATACATTCTATTACTAAATTAACCACAGGCTTCAATTATCAAGTATTAACTTACATTCTGTTTCTGAGCTGAAGCTCATTTTCAAATACTAGACTCATTTTAAAAAGAGATGCTAAAAATAAAGTGTCATGCCAAATTATTAAAGAGAAATTACTTCAGTGTCAAGATACAAAACACAACTAAGCAAAAAACACAATTAGGTTAAGAAAAATCACTGAAATGAATTTAAAAAATAAAGGAATCATTAATTAAATAATTAACTGATTATTTCCAAGCTTAAGAATTTAAGAAGTACTAAAGAGAAGACTCCCTGGAGAAGATGTTGGGAAAGTGTGAAGGCAAGAGGAGAAGGGGATGACAGAGGATGAGATGGAAGGACAGTGTCATCGAACCGACCAACATGAATTTGACCCAACTCTAAGAGGCAGTGGAAGACAGGAGGGCCTGGCGTGCTTTGGTCCATGGGGTCACGAAGAGTCGGACATGACGTAACGACTAAACAACAACAACAAAAGCATTCTATCACACTTACTTTCTTATTAGGCCTAATGACACCTTGAATAAAAAGCCGTCTTGTCCAATTACTCCCATCCCATTTGCCCGGCCACTGCTGTCTATACAGACCAGCTCCGGTTCCATGTCTTTATTAGCAACAATGAACTGGCCATAAATAAGGTCTCCCACCTAAAAAAAGAACATAATGAATTTTCACAACCCTCTACAGTACTTCAGCAACTTTTTATAATGCTTGTCCAGGGTTGCATTTTGCTACCATTCATACTTAAACAGCACTTAGAAAAAGCTGTTAATTGAGCAGTTAGCTTTCATGTAGAACTACCTTTTCAACCAGTATTTTTGATAGAATTTTTCAAATCTTTGGTGGAAAATAAATTTAAACCAAGATTATACTTTGAATGACAAGAGCTGAAATATCAGCAAACCTGGCTTTCTCCTATGTAAATATTCTTTGGTGTTGGGACAGTTTCTCTCAAGGACACAAGAATGTTCCCCATATTCACCAGAAGCATTGGGTAGTACATTGCATTGTAACTTACAAATTTTATCAGTTACATGCTTGGTGGTGGTTCTCTTGAAATACATTAACAAAAGTCATATAGTCATTGCGAAAAATAGAGGCACCATTGCAATTCTGTCAGAAAATGCAACTCTTCTTTCAGAAAATTGTTGCAGTTGCAAATATTTTGGTACTCACATGTTCATTTCTTTGATTTGTAGTGGAACAACACAAAAAACCCAGGCAATTTATATTTTATTTATTAGATTTTTATCCTGCCCATCTAGACCAAGGGTCTACTCTGCGCGGTTAAATCTGATACAGTCCCACACAGAAGCCCAAAAATGCAATGGCCAAAATTATTGGCACCCTTTGTTTAATATTTATTT